TGACGGATTTCTCACGCTTGCAGAACTGGGCATTAGATGAAGTTGATGGCTAACATTAAAAGGAAAGAAAGTAAAACTGAAAAAAAAAAAAAATCCATGCTACAAAACGAGGAGTGTATGAACAGGTGGTGATGGCTCCCCACACCCAAATTAAAAAAAGAAAGTACACGATGAAAGCAATGTATAATTTTTGAAATATTATGACTGCCTTTAAGGTTCTATTGTCCTTTCATTTAGCAAACAAAAAGCTCTCTGGCAACTTCCATGTCGTGAGAAGCCAGTTTACTGGGCTTCTGGCATTACTCAGCACGATTCCAAGTGCTTTGGTCCTAGGGTGAACTGTGATCCCACTGCAGTTAACTAGACTAATGTCTCTCTTCAAATGAGGTTTATAAGCCCATTTAAAGGGTAATAACATGTTGCCTTCCTTGGATGAAGCTTTCACCCTGATGGACGCTCTAAGTAAATTAAGCCCCAAAGTAAATTAATCCAATAAATAATCTACTCAACTCACAGCACACAAAACAGGCGTGGGTTTTTAATGACTAACTTAAGCTCGGACATGGGAAGACCCAGCACCCTGAGGGTGGCACACAGGCAGCAGGGAGTCAGAGAGGGACTCTGAGTTCCCAAATGCCAGCTGAGAGGCTCTCCCAGGGAGAAAAAACATTGGCCTTAAGTCTCTTTACTCCCTGTTTTACTCACATCTCTACAGTTAAATGAGGTTTGGGAGTGAAAAACAAACCCCCCCCCCAAAAAAAAAAAAAACTTAAAGTAAGTCCTCATTTATTGACCATGAGAGTGTCTGGAAACGTCAGGGTTGTTGTTGTTTAAGATTTATTTGTGCATACAGAACTGGGATACAGGCCAGAGGTGCAGGGGTGGTGAGAGGATTCTCCAGAGACAGAGTGGGGAGCAGAACAGGCTGTTTGACGAAGTACACTGCTGAGGGAGCAGCGGGCGGGTGAGGAGAGGTCTGCTGCGCCATGTGGGTCACCTCCAGGTCGTGCAGGGATCAAACTTATGCTGAAGTGGTTTTAGCTTCTTAGTGCTGTGCTTTAACCCGCAAAGCCACCAGTGAGGGCCTGGAAACTTCAGTTTTAAGCAAAAAAGATATATGATGAAACCAACTTCACCATGAGCTCATTGATATAAACAGGAGTTAAATTTCTATGGTATATTATTAACCACATAAACATCACCAAACTTCTAAACAAAACCCCAAAATATATATAATATTAAACATTCATTTGTACTCATCCCTATCCCAACCCCTGCTTTTTCTAGTTTTGGGTCGACGGTGGCAGGAGCCCAGCAGTTCAGGGACCAAGCAGGAACCCATCCTGGACACTCAAACTTCTTTCCTTCTCTCTCTTACATCTTGTTCTATGGTGTAGTTCCCTGCTTCCTCCCACCACCACAGCACCCATGAACCATCACCAGGGCCACGAGCTCTCCCCTCCCCTCTTTTGACCTTTGTCCCTCTCTCCTTTTCTTGCTGCTTGATCAAGTCTGTGGTCAGCTTGCAAGTTTTGTGTTTTTCCTGACCCTTTGTTCAGTTTCCCAACATTCTACCCATCAGTGAAAGATTTCTTATTTTCAGTTTCATTGACATCTGCTTACTTTTCATTATTTCTTTGCTTTTTTGGATATAATTTTCATTTTTATGGGTCATCCACACATTTGCACACACACTCTCTCAGCCTGGCCATTTAACATGACAGTCAGTATAATGTGCACATTGTGGGGATGTGGGAGGGATCTGGACAAAAACGTTAGAGGTACAGCGAGAGTGCAAACCCCACACACACAGACAGTGGCTGTGGGAGGAAATCAATATTTTTTTTTTCCTCATCAATGTTATAGCAAAATGACATTAAACAAAATAACACTACTTAAGAAAAGACTGTGCTATCTATTTGAGGCTCAAGTTAACTGTTTGGAATTGGGAAGAAGAGCATAGGAAAGGATGCTCTGTGGATTCTAATGAATGCTTTGTGTTTCCTGGGTTACTTCTCTTGAACCATCTCCTTCTGGAAATCTCTCCCACTACCTGAGTCAGAGTGTTCCTACTTGGGTTTTGTTTTGTTTATTTATTTGTACGTACAGAACTGGGGTACAGGCCAGAGATGCAGGGGGTAAGAGGATTCACCAGAGACAGAACAGGAAAACAGGCAGATTGACTGAAATACACTGCTAAGGGGAGCAGTGGGCGGATCAGGAGAGGTCTGCCACATCATTGGATCACCCCCCTGGCCGGGATTGAACTCATGCTGCAGTGGCTGCCATAACTTCATAGTGCTATGCTTTAGCCCTTGTGCCACCAGCAAGGGCCTCCCTACTTGGGTTTTAAGAGCACACATTCTGAAAGTTTTTTTTTCAAGGCTATAAGAACAAATGTTTTCATGATGGAAAGAATTCTGAAAATGTTGCCTACTAATCTCCTCCAGAAGGTTACAACATATATTCACCATTAAGGGTTTCACAGGTGAATGAGGTGAAAAAGATATCTAATTCACAAACATCATGATTGAACAAACCAGTGTTTATTCAGAAGAAACCATCCTTGTTAGATCACACGCTATCTTCCATCCGCTCAGACTGTTCCCCACTGCAGTTTCTCTTAAGGTTGCCCTTGCATCTATCCAGAGTAGTCAACACATTCTGGGCACACTCACATCTATAGGTTTATGCTACAGACACATGCTTACCAATTACAGAAGCCACAAGTCACATGGAATTATTTGTACTTATATTTAATTTAATTACTCCATCTTAATAAAAAATTCAGTACCTTAGTTTCACCAGCTACATTTCAGAGTGCTCAAATCACACTTGACCTATAGCTATATAATGGTCAGAGCAGATACACATAATTTCTATCATCATTTCCAGAAGTTTTTACTGAACAGCATTGCTATAAACCTTGTCAACCATAGAAGGAATCTTCTTAATCATCTTCTCATTTCAACTTCTACTTTCCCATGAGACATTGAGACTCCGAAATCACTGAGCACTGGCACTCCTGAGACCCAACTCCCAGCTAACAGTAACACAAGAAAAATCACTCAAAGTATTTGTTTGATGAAACAGAGGAGCCCTTCTCTCTGCTACCATAACATGTTCTGACCTTGATCATCACATTTCAGTATACTATGCCACCCCCAAGAATTTTTGTTGATTGAGAAAGTAATGTAGAAAAACAGAAGTGACAATTAAAATCAATAGGTAGTACTCTCACCTTTAGAAAAACACTCTTAGCATTTGGAGTATTTTCTTTCATTAATTTAAATAGACGTTTTGCTCTTTATTGGAGTACAATTTGCATGCAAATTCACCACTTTAATATGATGTTGTATGATGTATGATGGACGTAATCACTACTACAATCAAGATAGAGATCATTTTTATCAACCCCAAAAAGTTGCTTCCTGCTTCCCCAGCCCTCCTCTGGCAATCACTGAATTGTTTCCTGCTTGTCTTCACTTTTCAAGAATGTCATGAAGAATTGTGTAGTTGTGGCTTCATTAATCTGCCTTCTTTTAGCACAATGTTTTTGAGATTTATCCATGTTGTTGCAATTATCTGTTCCTTGGTTTTGATTGCTGAGTAGTATTTTATTCTAAGGACATGTTATAGTCTGTTTTTCGTTCTACAGTTGATGGACATTTGGGTGGTTTCTAACTTTTAGCAGTTATGAATAGAAACTTGCAAACATCTGCACACATCTTTATGCATATATATTTTCATTTCTCTCGAGGAAATTCCTTGGAATTCCTAGAGTTGTTAGCCTGTAGTAAGCATAGGTTGAGTTTTATAAGAAGCTGTCAAACTGGCTTCCAGAGTGGTTTAACCAATTTGAAGTCCACCAGCCATCTTTACCAACATCTTGTATTTTTGCTTTTTTTTTAAAGTTGCACCTTCCTCATTTTCCATTTCATTTCAATTTCATTTCCCTAATGATTAGTGATGTTGAGCATAATTTTATGTGCTTACTTGTTGTCAACATCTTGATTGTGTAGAGTTTTCCAATCTTTTGCCAATTTTTAAATTGAGTTCTTTGTTTTCTTATTGACTTGTATTGATTCTACATGTATTCTAGATGCTGGTACTTATTAGAAATGTGTTTTATTTTTTTCAAATATTTTTTAACAGTTTATAACTGGTCTTCATTTTGTCTTTTGAGGAACAGAAGTTATTAATGATACTTGAAAACAAAGAGATTTCTCAGTAAGAGTTTCCTTTGATGAGCACTGGAGGTATGGTAGTGACTAGGCCTTAATTTTCTACTTTTCCTTTTTAACATAACTGGCATCTATTGGTTTCTAGCCAACTTTTCGCTATATTATCATGAATATTATTCAGGTCATTAGGTATTAGTTAAAAACATGATTCATAATGTGTACTCAAGTGACTATATCTTAACTTATCTAACTGCCCCTTTCTATTTAGAGATGTTTATGTTGACTCCAATCAATACTTAAAAAAAAGAAAGAAAAAGAAATGCATGATTGCCATCTTGTGTAGAAATCTGAACACACCCCCAATTATTTTCTCATAATGCTTATAATTATAAAGAGAGGGGCAAGAGCATATTATTTTGTTTTATAATTGCTCTTCAGAAAGACTACAGATGCTTTGAAGCAAAGATCTTGTCTTTCCTCCCTTGTCACACCAGTATATGACAGAGCACCTGTGACGCTGTAAGTTCAGATGTGCTCTTGCCCAATAAATAGCTGGAGAGAAAAAGAATTCCACGAACTTTCATCCCTATACCTTCTTTCTGTGTGTGTTGGTCGGGGGGTGGGGGGAGTCCCCTCACCTTCTCCCATAAAGGGAATAGGAAAAAATTCTCTAAGAAGTAAGCTGCCAAGGAGGCAGAGCTCTGCATAGCTAGGTAACAAACCCTGTTGCTGCTCAGCAATGCCCTGAAGGGGCCCCACCCCCAGCCTGTATAAAGCCAGGGTGCAGTGGGACAGCCACAGTTGGCACCAGCCTCCAGAGCGCCAGCACTGGCACACCCTATGGCTAACGAAGTGCAAGTCCTGCTCTCCCCGCTGAAAGGGGGGCATCCTCCCGCAGGTAGGCTGCCCATCAGCCCTCTGCCCTGAAGATAGCAAAGGTCTCAATGCTGCCCCTATTTCCATGAGTGCTCCTGCCCCCCCAAAACGCAGGTGCTCAAACTACCCATTCTTTAATTGCATGCACCTTAATTTCCTCTCATGACTTGAATCCTTCTAGGCTTGTGTATAAACCACCTGGGGGTTTGTCAGGCCCCAGTTGAATTAAAACCTAATTATATACGAGAGTAAAGGGATTTGGGGCTTCTGGAAAGTGATAGGTAAGGAGTTTGGACCATCCTTTCCTGGGCTGGAGACAAGAAGTGACACATCGATACCTGAAAGGTGATTTACTGCCAGGGAAACCTTCCTTGCTGGAGGTTCTAGGTCCAAACTCAGTCTCCCCAAGATGCCTGTACATCATCTGACTTTGTACCCAGCAACCTGGCTCCCACACAGCAGACAGCAGCCATTTCCCCTCCTTCCTCCAGCTTTGGGGTGGAGCAGTATCCTCAGTGATGTAATTTGTCTGTCAATAAGCAGAGGAGCACTTTTTTTTTTTGAAGATTTATTTATTTATACATGCAGAACTGGGGTACAAGCCAGAGGTGCAGGAACGGTGAGAGGATTCACCAAAGACAGAGTGGGGAGTAGAACAGGCTGACTGACAAAGTACACTGCTGAGGGGAGCAGTGGGCGGGTCAGGGCCATGTGGGTCACCTCTGGGGCAAGGATGGAACTCATGCTGACATGGCCTTAGCTTCTAAGTGCTGTGCTTTAACCCGCTGCGCCACCAGGGAGGGCCCTGAGCAGCACTTTTTAATGAGGACCCAAGCATGGGGGAGACTGAATAGGAAAGGTGGCTCCAAGGTACTTTATAAAACATCCACAAATTGCTCCCTTTTTAACCTTAGACCATTATATTGGCTCTCTGGAATATGGAGGTTAGCTGTATTGGTCTTAACCCACATATTTATATAGACTGATGTATATAGCCCTATTTTTAGCCAGTGCTATGTTCTTTCAGCTACCTTCTTTTATTTACTTGTTTGTTCATTTAATATTATATTTTTTATATCATTGTTCATTTTGTATAATGTATGCTTTCTCATCTTGGTTATAGTCCCCATGGAATTCCCACCACCAGTTCTCCCATGGACCATCACCATAGTTCCTTGTGCTCTTCCTACCCCGTTTTGATTCTACTCCCTTCTCCCCCCCTGAAGAAGGTCTCTGGTTTATTAGTTGCTTGTTGATTTTGATATTTACTGTATTATAATTACTTTCTTTCCCCTACACCCCCATGTTTATTACAGTATTACTTTCAATAGGTACGCTATGAAATCAACTACCTTCTTTTTTTCCTTAACAAAGATCTCAAAAACTTGACCATTTTGTTCTTGTCTTTTTCCATTTACAAAATTTATTTATTGGTATGATTCCTTAGCACCTCTAAAAGCAGTGTTATGTCAGTCAGCTTTGCTGCAAAGGATGATGGCAGATATACTATTGGCAAAGCCTCAGAAGCTGATACCAAGGTGCTGTGGCTTCCTGATAGTCAGCCCAACTGAAAGAATCAGAATTTTGCAACTAATGCTGAGTTTCCAGTCCCAAGCACCATGCTCTATCCACCAGTGGCAGATTCCTGGGATTTGATGTTTGTAATTGAATTTAGCAGTATATAACAATGTCTACACTGAAAGTTAATGATGCTGACTAGAGACCAGTAACTATATACAAAAATTGTTAGAAGAAAAGCTCGTTGTATAAATTCCAAATAAGAGCACCATTTTCTTCCCACCACTTTCACCCCAATCCTTCATTAAATACTTAAATTAAACTCTGATTTGCTAAATTATACTTAGGCACAAAAACACAGAAATAAACTTAACCTAATGAAAGTTTGAATAAGACGACCAGGAACTTTCTGTCCCCACCACTAATGATTGCTAATTACTCTGTGTACATAGCGCACCATGACTCCATCAAGCATGTCACAATGCCTCCGGCATGACAATTAATTATTATGAACTGTGACACTACAGATAAGAGGCCTGGGATAATTAGAATGGAGATGAAGGCAGGCTTTTGCCCCCATCCCAGCCCTCCCAAGAGCTAGGGAACAAAGAAGCCTCATCCAGCAGCTTTTGTGTTGATACATATTTAAGTCAGAACCGGTTTGCTATGATGCAAAATTTTATTTATGGAACAAAGCAATTCACTGCCAGAATTTCATTAAATATTCACCTGAGTGTTGTAAGAAATATAACAGATGCCTCAAAGTGGGAAGCAGATGTCGTATGGTGACAAGTATCTAACTTGACTTTTGGAACCAGACTTGGGTTAAAAGCCCACCTTTCATTCTACATCTGAATATCAGTTTTCTCATCTATGTGAAAGGGTGTCACATATGAAAACACGGACCTAATACAGTTATTGTGCTGATTAAAAGAGATGGGCCTACCCAGTGTGTTAATGGCAATCCCCTTAAATACAGGCCTAGTAAAGCGTGTAGGACACAGGAGAAATCCTCCTCTCAACTGCAAGACGTCCTCATGTTGGATGGCAGCATTGAGCACCAGGGCAGAAGGAAACAGCCATGGAAAAAATACTTATGCTTGCACCAACATAATTTAAAAGGAAACCATTCAGAAGTCAACTAGCTGTAACTCTTTCCCACCTAGGTGTGGAATGCTTAGTGGTTTATCTTTCATGTTATATAATATAATATATTGCACCTCTGTTCAGTTATAAATTCATGCTGCAGTAAGACTACATTACACATGAGATGGTCTGGGTTCTGGAGATTTGGATTTTCTCCTTTATTTATTTATTTATTTATTTGATTGGCTTTGCTCTCAGTTTTATAAGAACCCCATTATATGAATCACAAAGTGTGTGAATAGATGACCCAAGGAAGGCAAGGCCAGCATGAAGCAGTAAGAGTGAGAGTTCCTGCGTTTTTCTATTTTCCATGGACTTTTTAATGTGGCTTAAGTGAAAGGAAGCATAGTCATTAAAAGGGTCACCACTGAACCCTCCAGAAAAAACCCGTTTTCTGGCTCATTAAAGAAAGTAGGGGTATACCCCCAAGTGAGAAGTTAATGCAGAAAATGGAAGGAACTAGGGCTGCGTGAGGGCAATTAGAAAGAAAACAAACAGCAAAGAAGAAATTCTCTCCTCTCCAGTGTGCTCAAGTTCATTTATCGGAGCTGAAGGGAAACACATCTGGGAACAAGAGAGCGAGAGTGATTGCAAGACCCCTACCCCAACTTTGCAGGGTCCTCAGTTTGATGCAAGAACAGCTGCCACTCACTGAGAGCTGTGCACCTGTATGATACACCCGTCATCCCTGTTCCAAAAAGGTGCAAACTGAAGGCTAGCAAGGTTGAGGGGCTTGCCCAAAGCCACACAGTTAGTAGACTGGGACTGAGATTTGCAAATAAGGCAGTCCCCATGCCAAAGCCCCGTTGCCCTGAAGGCCCTTGTCCTTCGTTCACAAACTTTTCCTCAGGAAGGCCTTGGTCAGAAGTTTGAAATCTTGGTTAGAAGATTAAAATTTGCTTGGAAATAAAGTGTAAATACCAAGGAAATGTTTTGCAAACTGGTAAACTTTTAATTAAATGCTTCAGTCAAAGCTCTAAGCCACAAAGCAGAGTTCACACAAGCCTTTGTGTTGATCACTTTTTCACATAGATTCTTCCATGCTTAGTGAAGGAAAATTTAATTTTTTTTATAGGCTTGTCTTTATCTTGATAATTTTCTACCAGAAACTGCACAAATATCTGGGAAATGATAACATGATTTTTTTTTAAATGTTACAAATTTCCAAAGCAGTCACATGAGGAAAGCAAAGTTTCACTTTCTCCATTATAAACTTATGAAAGTCATCAAAAAAGCATCTTTCTCTTTGAAAAATGAAAGTCATCAAAAAAGCATCTTTCTCTTTGATATTTGTAAGTTTAGTTCATTTAGTTTAATTGAAAGGATCTAAAGTCTAACCTTTAATATTCATAGTCAAAAACTTGTTAAAATGTTAAATCAGTTCATATTTTTCTTTGCCCAATTCTAGTTGATCCTTTTACAAAAGTTCAAAAGGCAATATAGTCCCAAACATGGCATTATGTAAATGATTACAAATTTAAATGAGTTTAGATATTGTGAAACTTTGTAGAGGTCTTGTGAGTCAGGCCCATCTAATATAGCAAAATGGGCAAGAACCTGATTGTGTTAGATTATAAATGTTTATTCACAATGGTGTGTCTAAATCCTGGGAGACCAGTATAACCAGTACTCCCAGTAGAGCTTTGAAGATGACCCTCCCCAAAACTGGTTCCATCTGGTTCAGTCACCTGATTGGTGCGAGCCTGACCTATATCTGCATGTTCATGTGTACTATCAAGACGTTATCTGCTGCTTTCCTACCACAACAAATTGGACACAACAACTAAGCTCTGAAAATCTCAAATGTGATTGACTTCTGCTTCCTAAGTCACCCAAAGCCTACCGTCCCAGACAGAGAAGATTCAAAATTCCTGGATGAAAGTGGAAGGATTTTTTATTTTCCCCTTAAGTGTCTCTGTTTTATTGAAGATTGAAGGGAAGTAGAAGGTTTTCTTGTGGGAGTAGAGGGGGAAGGTTGAAGGATGTTATAATAAGGAGAAATAGTTCTTCTAAACCTTCCTAAGGCACCAATGATTAGGAGACTCCTCTTCTTTCCTTTAACAATGAGAGACCAAGGATAAACATTGTACTAGACAATCTACTTAACTTTATTATATTTAAAAAAAATTATTTATGCACACAGAACTAGAATATAGGCCAGAGGCACAGGTGTGGTGAGAGAATTCACCAGAAAAAGAGTGGGGAGCAGAACAGGCAGATCGACGAAGTACACTGCTGAGGGGATCAGGAGAGGTCTGCCATGCCATGTGGGTCACCTCTGGGGCCAGGGATGGAACTCATGCTGAAGTGGCTTTAGCTTCTTAGTGCTGTGCTTTAACCCGCTGAGCCACCAGGGAGCGCCCTCTACTTAACTTTAAATAGCACCATTATATGTACCCAAACTCTACCTTGCTGGAACTACCGTCCTTGGGTCTTTATTCTCTCCTCTGGAACAACTTAGAATAAATATAAATAATAATTTCTTAAGTGTTTACCATATACCAGGTTCCTTGTCTTTATTCTCTCCTCTGGAACAACTTAGAATAAATATAAATATTAATTTCTTAAGTGTTTACCATATACCAGGTTCCTTTATCACCTGTGTTATCTTGAGCAACCTGAAAAATCAGTGTCTTTCATTCACAAGGATATAGAAAATGATCCACAGTGTGGTTTAAGTATCTTGCTCAAGATCCTAGAGCTCAGAATGGGTAGCTGTCTGTGACCCTACAAGACATTTCCTTACCAGGATGCAGCTCTTCTGCAATAGGACAGCCTCTTAGATCTTTGAGAATGGCACAATATTCTTTGAAGTTTGTTTCTTCAGAAAAGAACTTTTCAGATTCTCTAGTCCCTCCTGTGACATAGCTCCTTTCTCCACACAGTCCCCTTCCTCAGGACAGTCGCTAGATTTTCAGGATCCTTTCAAATGAGTGTCACAGACCTATTCACATGTCTTCTCAAGTTTTGCTATTGATTATTTTAACTTGAACACTTTGTTTCTATAGTTGGAAGAAACGTGGAAAACTAAATGAGATTGCAGAACTTTTTGTAATATGTTTTATGCACATATTACATAATCAGAAAAATAAATGGAATAATAATGAAGTCATTCAAAAGGGTATTTAGAAGTAGGTTTTCTGTGTTTTTTCACTTTATTGGAACTAGTTTACAAAAAATTATCAGCTTGACATTTCCATGAAAAGAATTAATAGGTTCAAACAAATCAATGTCCATTTAGCTTTTTCTCATTTGAATTTGTCAGACTGTAGATGTGCAAATTTCCTGGGAACAGAAAAAAGAATTTGCTTTGACTTGCAATCTGAAATGGGTTGTTTCTCTTCAAAAGCTGATTTCATCTGACATTGTTAAACACTTGAATTGCTGGTAGGTCATCTGTAACCTAATTAACACTAATTGATCTCTTGAATGGCAGGATTATTAATGCAATTTAATTACTCATTAGAACATCTAAGCTCAGCTAAAGTTTGGGATCTGGGTTGAAAGATAGGTGTCCAGTAAAACCAGATGCACCTCTGTTCAATCAAATGCCGCTTATGACCACATGCCCTGACTTTTGGAATTTGGTTTTGGCATGCAAAAAAAAAAAAAGTCAGATCCAAAAAGCAACCCTGTGTAAACTTTAATCTAGTGGGAAAACAGGAGGGTCACATGTAATAGTTGGTTGTTCTCATGGAGAACATAATTGGTTTGATAACAAGAAAAAATGTTTTCCAGTGAAATGCCTAAGGGAGTATGTTATTATTCTTTTCTCCAAATAGAAGGTGTAAATTTCTGCTGCTTTTTTTAACCTTTCCCCTCTCTCCACAATAAACAAGCAAACCTCAGCTGTTTTCCTCCTTCCCACCTTGTTTGTCCAGAACAATTTTTTCTCAACTGTGCTGTTTCAGGATAGCTTTTTATTGTGAGTTTTAGATTAAAGTTTAGGTCTTCAAAATATAAGTTCAAATCTAAAACCATATGTTAACAAACAAAGCAGGCCTTCTCATGTTCTACTGTTCTAACCTTCTAACCATGACTCCCATGTTGACATTTATTTTGTTCATAGTAAAAGCTGGAAGAATGCGAATTTCAAAGAAACAGGAATTTGGCATCTTGGAGAGACATACCAAAAAAACAGGATTTGAGAAAACAAGGTAGGGATTGCTTAATTTCTTTTTCTTCATTTCCTCATGGAGTTTTTTTTTTTTTTAAAGATTTATTTATTTGTTCATACAGAACTGGGGTACAGGCCAGAGGTGCAGTTGCACCTCTGAGAGGATTCACCAGAGACAGAGTGGGGAGCAGAATAGGCAGATCTACGAAGTACACTGCTGAGGGGAGCAGCGAGTGGGTCAAGAGAGGTCTGCCATGCCATCTGGGTCACCTCCAGGTTAGGCGGGGATAAAATTCATGCGGAAGTGGCTTTAGCTTCTAAGTGCTGTGCTTTAACCCACTGCACCACGAGGGAGGGCCACCTCATGGAGTTTTGAGTGACTCTGCTTCTAGAAGTTAAAGTCCTCTCTATTTTAGGACAAACCAAGGTTTCCTCCCTATGTATTTGCTAACCAGGATTAGTGGCAGCTGGACCAAGGTGAGGTGAGGCTATGATTGGGGCGGGGTGGGGGGCGGCGCTGAAGGCGAAGTTACACTCAGGTAAAAGGTGAGTACTGTCTAGTTGAGTCTTTCTGGGTCCTCATTCCTGCCCCCTTCCTCCTCTGTGGCCAGTCCTACTACTTTGTACTTGAATGCACCCAAATCTGCCATACTTCTTTTTAACCTATTTTCACATTAACTTAATATATAGCTCCTAGGCTGACCCTGTTTCCATAATATGCTTCCAGCTAAAGCAAATCTCTGGAATTAAAAATAAATGCTTTTTTTGTTTTGTTTTAAATTCATCATTCAATTATTTAGAAACTAATGGCCACTGTACACTATAGTTGGCATAGCTGGAAGACATGGAGAGACTGAGGTGGGTTTCTCCCTGTTCCAAATGCCATAACCTTGACACACTGCACTATTCCCTGAACCAAGCAGAAAGCTGGGGGTTGGAGGCCATATGAAAATGACAGCCACTGCCTGCCTTGGCTAAGGAAAATGAATGCATTCAAAAAGAAATTAACATACGGAACTGGCTCCTCCAAGTGGTGTGTGCATTGAGGGCCCTTCAGAAGCTATTTATTTCAGGATGGCTTCCACAGATGAGTTGAAGAGTGATTCAGAGTTGTTTAAAGGAAACTTGCAAAATAAGCTTTTGTTTCTTCTGCTATCAGAAAATAATTGTCACTGCAAATGAAGACCTGGGCCCTCATGAGTAGGGGCTGCATATTGCTTATCTCTGAACCAACATCTAGGACTGTTCCTAGAATAGATAAGCTCTGTATACATGAAGTGAAACTCTTGAATTGCAAACTGGTTAATTTTGAAAGTCTATTCTGTTTCTGAACCTGACTGAAGCATAAGTCCTGCAATACCTGTTTGTTGTGAGCCTGGGCCAGAGGCTCAGGAACAAAGGATCATGACTTGGAAATGACTTCTAGCTGTCAGTCAGAGGACAAATCATTCATTCTCTGAACCCTCCAAAGTGTGGACTTAATATTAATTCTGACATCGGCAGAACCATGTCAGGAAAGTTACCAAGAGAGCTATAAAATGGTGATTGGAACCTTCTTTAAAAACTCAGTTGCTTTCTATAGTCATTACTATTACTACTGAAACAGCAGGAGATGTTCTTGCTTGCCCTAATTCCCAGAGATGGATATAGGTATAGAGGTTTAGGGCTTATGGAATTTGGGAACATCTTAAAGAAAAATAATTTTATAAATTAAAAATATGAAATGACTAGGGTCCCTCCCAGAGCTAGGGAAGGAGCCCCACTAGTCACTGCATTGGTCCTAAACCTGAAGCTTCATTAGTTCCACCATAAATTTACCTCTAGCTTACTTCTCCTTCATGAATGTTTACACAGGATATAAGTGCCCTGTTTTCATGGACAAACAGCTCTCCTTACATCTCCTTAGAGAATAGCTTTAGAAAGATATATGAAAGAAAATAAATTTCTAAGCATCATCAATCTATGCCCATGATAATAGCCTCTATTAACCAACACAAACCAACCAGAAAAAGAAAAAAGTATGCCAAGTAAAAATTTTACTTTAAGAAATCCTATGGCAGGTCCAGCCTTCAGTCACATTCCCCTGCAAAGTAACTTGGTCTGAGAAACAGTAGCCAGACACAAAAGAAAATACATGGGGTTCATTTCATGAACTGTAGAAACAGTCCAAACTAATGCCTGATGCTACAAGTCAGGCTTGGGTTATCCTTGGGGGCAGCTGGTTTGTGAGCATATAGACCAGGGGGTACTCCAGGGCCCTCAAACTTGTACATTCTAAAGGAAGCCCAGCCTTCAATGTATATGAAGAACACACTCTTTGTGTGAAAGACTTTTAATAGAATTAGTCTGTATAGAAAGAAGAAAAGACAAGACAGTTGTTTCCCAATAAAACACCCAAAGTTACTTATCATCACCTTGTGGGCAAATTCCCAGCCAGTGTTGACCTAATACAGGCCTCCGAAGCCCAAAAGGTTGCCACAAGTCTAAGGTATCATCAGGTGATGAACCATTGTAATGGAGAGAAAAGGACCAGGCAAGTCTGGGATGAAAGGAACAAACTCAAAGTACAAATCAAGATATTGGTTGCCCTTATCAGACTCCCCATATGTCTCTCACCCAGATGTCTCTCCAAGTCCCCCAAGTCCCCAGTACAAGGCCAAAGCCAAGAAACAAGTGAACCTTCCTCACCCCGACACAACCCACCTGCCTTCCATGTTAAGTAGCCTCACCTGGCTGCTCAGTTCTGCTCTCTGGCTCCCAGTAGCTGGTCCACAGTGGCTGCTTGTCATCAGCAACAGGGAACATGATGCCTCCCCTTGGTACCAAGCTACTTGTTACAGTCTGACTAGAGTTTTTTTTTTTTTTTTAAAGATTTATTTATTTACACATACAGAACTGGGGTACAAGTCAGAGGTGCAGGGGCGGTGAGAGGCTTCACTAGAGACAGAGTGGGGAGCAGAACAGGCAGTGGAAGTAATATGTTTAGGGAGCAGCCGGCAGGTCAATAGAGGTCTGCCACGCCATGTGGGTCACCTCCAGTCCTGGGGATCGAACTCATGCTGAAGTGGCTTTAGTTTTTAGTGCCGTGCTTTAACCTCCTGCACCAGTAGGGAGGGCCCCTGACTAGAGTTTTATGTTTATGATAATAGTACATTTTTCTGCATGTATATAAACTTCAATGCAAAGTTAAAAAAACATTTATAATAATAACGTGATCTACAAAGCTGGCTGTAGATTCTTTTCCTTCTAGAGGTTACCAAATAAAGTCAAAGTAGAGAGTCCTCTGTATAAATCATTGTGCCACTTCCTTGGGGAAATGTACGGGTCATATGTGAAGTTTCTTTTCATCTTCACAGTGCAGTTGCAAATGTTGCTAAAATCCAGACGATGGATGCCCTCAACGACACACTGGAGAAGGTGAGCGGTGGCTGAGAGGCAGTCGGGAGGCACCTCGTCAGCATTTTCCTAACTGTTCTGGCTGCATGGGGGTCAGTGAACAATGGGATGGCCGCTGGGGCTTTTTCCAGCTCAGAAGGTTGATGTCCTGAAAGAATTTGCTCTCAGTCTGAGGCACACAGGCTTGTTTTGATAAGAAAAACTTTCTCTCAATTCCTAGTGTCTATTTAATAAATCACTTCTAAAATAAGATAGGAACAAAGGAAAAATCTTGACACCAAGCTGGCAGAATGTCAGGATGCCATTTCAAATATTTCTCAGCAACAGTGGCATATTTTTATAAAAAGGGAGTCTGTGTAATGGAAATGCAACAATTTTTCAACTTCCTCCCCACCACTGATTTCCCGTAAGGAAATAACTGGATTTAAGGCTAGCGTGGGAGGGGAAGAGTTGCATGGCTTAAAGCTGGAGGTAGACTGGGCACTGGCAGGATTTACCGGAGCGTCTGTTTATCAAGGTGAATGACGCTTGCTATTTTTATTTCTGTATCTTGAATTTCTTCTGAGGAGTTTAAGAGACTCAGAAAACTCTTACCAGATGGAGATAATGGTTTGCATTCAATAGTTCACTTTTAAATGTTGTAGGTCAGCTGAGAGAGGGTCCTTCATCTACTTCAGGGGGCAGCTGCATTGCATGCAGGCAATGAACAGCCACCCTTCCTCCTACCCCCCCCTCCCCAATTTATTAAAGAGACAGTAAGGGAGGGAGTCCTTGTACAAGGTACAAGGACCTGCCAAAATCAGGGTCTGGAAAAGAACAAAAACTACAGCTAAACTCCATTTGGCATTAACTCCTCCACTTGCTCTCTATGACCTTGAGCAAGTTATTTATCCTATGCCCTTCACTCCTTGTTTGTGCAATGGAGATAAGGAAGAGTCGTAGTTCACAGGGTGTTGTGTGGAATAAACGAGCTCATACAGATGAAGCTGTGAGAACGGTACCTGGCACAGAGTAATCCATTTGTACTCTCTGTGTAGGTTAAGAATATTGGCCTTATGACAGTGAAATAAAAAAGTGTGACTAAGTCCATGGGATGCTACAAAAGAGATGGTACCAGGCAAGGTCTTGATTACAGGCTACAGAAATCCTGATGCAGGGAGCTTAGTTCTCCCATCAGTTAGATTTGATGTGATTGTTGGCTCAGCCTTTTTGGCTTCGCAAGTAAAGCTGTGGTAGGCAGTGCTGGCCAGGGCACTACAAGTTACCCATTTCTGCCTGTCACATTCCCTTGCTCCCTGCCCACTAAATGCCTCTTCTTCAGGAGTACGAGAATGTTCAACTTTTTAAGTGAAACTGGAGGAAATAGATACATTTTTCTAAAATATATGCTAATCCAAAATAACATGTATAATGAGAGTGGTCAATAAAGGTTGATTATGTTGTAACTGGTCAAAGGCCAAGTCTACATGATTTTTAATAGACATGTGAATATTTCTATGACATAGAGGGTTTCTTCCCTTTTCAATTAGAAATATCACTTCTTTATTTTAAGATAACATCAAAAATAATAAACTGTATAATAAAGATAATATTGATGTGGTGTGTCATCCCAAATGTTTTCACAATTATAACTATTTTTTATTATATATATATATATATGTGTGTGTGTATATCCACACACACACACACACATATACACAAACACACGCATATATATGTATGTATTTATATTTTACATCATTCTTCATTTTGTGAATTTTTTTTCACCCTAGTTGTAATCCCTGTGGACTTCTACCACCATTTCACCCATGTGCCATCACCATAGTCCTGTGTGCTCCTCCCACCCTAGTTTTGATCCTATTCTCCTCTTTACCCTCATAGAATGTCTCTAGTTTAAAATTGCTGATTTTCATTTGTACTTCATTACAATTGCATTTTTTTTCCTGATCCATTACACTCCTGCTATCAGTGAAACCATCCAGTATTTTTTCTTTTTCTTTTTGGCTTATTTCACTAAGTATGATCTGTTCCAGCTCCATCAATGTTGCCGCAAATGGCATGAGTCTATCTTTTTGATTGCTGAGTAATATTCCATTGTGCCAATTATAACTATTAAAAAGAAACCTTTAACACTTGGGTCAATGCTTACTGGAGAAGGACTATAGCTAACACTGTATCAGTTCCTGATTATAACAGGTCTGACATCAGACATCAGATGGGTCTTAGGCTGGTTCTGTTATTAATTAAATTAGCTGCTTCATCATATATAAGTAATAATGAAATTAATAGTATCCACTCCACGGTGCTATAAGAATAATATTAAGTTTTCTAACATGTGCAGCATTTTTAGCACACAGTCAGTCACAATTAGCCCTCAGAAAGTAATTGTGTCTATTCCCAGGCCGTTATCCTACAAGGCATGGCTTGGAATCCAGGTAAAGGATCAGAAGCCAAAAACAAAATCAAATTCCAAGGCTACCATAAGTGACTAAGTATATAGGCTATACTGTAGTCTGTTAAGTGTGCCATAGTATAATAGACATACCTTAATAAAAACACTGTGCCCATCTTAATTTAAAAAATACTCATAGCTAAAAAATGTTAGCCATCATATAAGCCTTCAGCAAGTTGTAATCTTTTTTCTGGCCTTGTATAAAAACATTATCTGAAAAGTGTGGTAAAGCACAATAAAATGGGATCTACCTATATCTCAAATATGGAAGTTGGTGGATTTCACCTATAACTAAGGAAAATCCTTTCTAAATCCATAATTCAACAGGAAGCATACTAGGATTTCATAATAAATGTCAACCTGGGGGAGAAAAACCAATGCCTTTAAAAATAACTAGATCTGCTGAGATAAGCAGTTGTCAGGAGCTCAGGGCAGGAGGAGGGACTGACCACAGCGTGACAGGAGGGAACTGGGCGGATGATGGACAGGTTCCATCTTGATTGTGGTGGGGATTACAGATTCCATGCATTTGCACAGACATTTTTGACTGTCAGTAAATGATACATTAATTTTTACAAATGAAAAAATTCATCAAAATGAAAGGGATATAAAAAATATAGATCTACGTTTATGCTAGTAAATTTTTACTAGCATTGCAGTGGTTTCCCTCCCCCCCATCCAAACACATATTGTCATGAAGACCTAACAATATACAATTGACAGAGCAATATAGTAGCAGAAGGAGGGTCAGGGCCTCTCCATTTGTTAATTTTCATTAAAGTCCTCGGCTAGAATTATGTGTACTTACAAGAACCCATGTTAATCCTCATGCCAGTTCAAGAATCTAACTAAAACTGAATGTATGACCCTATCCATAGGATTTCATCAGCCATGTCATGGTGAGAAATTTCTACCCACTTGCTATTTATCTGTAGACTCACTACTTTAATAATACCCCAGGGTGGGAGAGTTTGGAAATTATAAAACAATCTTCTATCAGTGGGAAGTAACATATAATATTTCCACCTACTGTTTTCCTACCTCTTCCCTGCTCATAAACCACTCCCTACCACATTGCTCCTTTCCTCTTCAATCAGCCTTCTCCCAACTCTTCCAACTCTAAAAATTGAGAGAATTTGTTTTGCCCGGTGGAGTTATGTTACTTGGAAAGTTCTCTAGGCTGAAAGTCTGGGAGACTTGGTCTTAGACCAAGTTCTCCCTATTAAGAGGTTGTTTGATGTTTTTGAAGTCTGAGATTTATAGTTGCACATTTAGTAAATTTGTTTAAGGGGGGAGCAAGAAAGAAGGATACTGCCAAATATATTAATTCTCTGGATAGTTATGGAAGTTAAATTTGGCAATGGTTGTGAAGCTTCTCAGAACATTAAAGTATCCAGTGAAAACATTAGTAACAGGGCTTTGAGCATGGAGTGGGGTGGAATGTTGAAGCCCAGTTAAATGTGGGGCTACTTTTCAAGTTGCCAGATACCTGACCCCTGCCAAAGTTAGTGAGAAGAATGTGAAATGGGATCCTGGGGAAGATGAAACTATCAAAAACATCTGCAGATCTAAAAAGGTTTCCCTTGTTCTGTAGATTAACATCACCCTCCGAGTATCCTTGAATTCCATAGACTAGAGCTGCATGTTTTGTTTTAAGCACTTTGCTTAACAGGGTGTGGAAATCTAAGTGCCAACATATGAGTGGGAAGTTAACACCCTAGAAAGATGAATGGAAGAGCTGCCAGTTTTCTAATGCTACCTAACTCTGTCTCTACAACAAAAACTGCTGCTGATTTTCTTGCATCTAGAATTTATTCGGCAGCTCCAAACATTAGGACTTTTATCATACAGTTTTAGCTTTTTCTCTGAAACTGAAAATATAGATTCTGAGGTCACTGCAACCCAAGTTGGGAGTTTCTATTGATCTGTTTTTCAAAGTCAGCTTGTTGCCCCTTATGTGATGGGCCCACAGCAAGGCAGAGTCCTCATACAGGTATCTGGCCTTGAATTCTTTCTCTGTGGTCACCCTAAATTCTCTTACCCTAATGAATCAGACAAAACACGCCTTTCATTTTACAAACTCTATATCATTTTACAACGACTAATGATATAAAAGTCAAAGCTTCCTCAAAGACACCAGACGAAAGCCCAGCTGGTGGTAGGTTGTACTCTGGGAAGCAATTCCTACTTATTTCTAGTATAGATGTAAAAATAAAATCTTCCTATGTCCATTGATATATAATCTACTGTAAAGAACCAGGGCTCTTACGGGTGCCCATTTTATTTAAAGTTTTGTTAGTCTGGGAGAAATACTATAGACTACACTCATAATCCCCAAGTCCCTCCACTATAGAATGTTCCTGATTGAGGGGATAAGGTATATAAGAAAGAGAACTTTTCTCTCCAGTTGTATTTTCAAGAGTTGCTGTGAAACCCTACTACTGACCCTCCAAACCTGTATATTTGTAATTTAACAATAGGGGGCACTTTCTCTAAGGCTACTTCCTTCTCTATCCCACTCACTTCTTTTTATCCCCTAGACTTTTCCAGACCAGTTCACATAGGGCCAAAAGTCATCAGGGGCTGACACAGTTTTACATTCATTTTAGTCTGTGGTATCTCCTCCTAAGAAGTTAAACAGAGCTCTTAGAACCTCAGTAAAATGCCTTGGTTAAAAATAAAACTCTGAACCTTTAACATATCAGTGGGAATGAAGAATGGTGTAGCTGCTTTGTAAAACAATATGGCAGTTCCTCAAAACATTCGAGGTAAACTTTCCCTATAATTTGGCAGTTCCACTTCTGTGTACATACCCCAAAGAATTGATAGCAGGAATTCAAGCAGATACTTGTGCAGGTGTTCCTGGGAACACTATTCGCAAGTTAAATGGTAAAAGCAACCCAAGTGTTTATCAATATGTGAATGGATAAACTAAACGTGGTATTTACCATATAATGGAATATTATTAAATCTTTAAAAGGAAGGAATTTTTTAGACATACTACTTGCATGGGATGCTTAGAGTAGTCAAATTCATAAAAACAGAAGATAAAAAAGTATTTGTCAGACTAGGGAAGGGTACAGGAAATCCTGTAGCACTTAAATTTGGAATGATGGGAAATTTCTGGAGATGTAGGTTGTGAAGGTTCTACAAAATTGTGGCTGTATTTAATGCTACTAAGCTGAACACTTAAAGATGGCTATAATGATCATTTTACCATGAATATTTAAATGACAAGGGAAATGTAGCCCTGAAATGGTGGGGATAACCCTGGAGATGATCCAATATTAAATTAATGCCAAATTGCAAAATAAGTATTTTCAAGCACACTGTTCTTCCTCTCCATTTCCTTTCCCTCCTCCACCCAGCATCTCTCCCATGCCTTATGACCAACATCTACATTGTGGTTTTCTCCCTTCTAGTCTCTACTTATCATCTTGCCCCATCTTACCTTGGAAAATTGCCCAGATTTCTGACATATCAGAGTAACTTATTCATTTCCTTTAACTTCCCCCTTTACCTTATATTTGACTTTAATTAACTTGACAAATTGTTCATCCTACCTGTAATCTTTTGAACATGATTTAGAGCTGACCTAAAATAATCCATCTGTTATACTTGACACTGCAGACACTCAGTCTGGAAGCAAACTACTGAAGTCAATAACCTCTGAAGTTTCCTTCTGGTTCTAATGTTAAGAAAAAAATCACTGCCTTTACCGCAATATGAAATGTCTGCCATGTGGCCTGGTGACAATCGAGCTAACAAAATGTCACTGGCTTGTTTTTGTACTGACCAATACCTCAACTGCACATCTTCCATCCTGCTAGAATGACAGCAGAGGCAATTCATGGGCTTAATTGTTATATAAATTATACTTGTCATTGTAGAAGAAAAAATTAGAAAAATACTGATAAGCAAAGTAAAGAAAAAGACAAGGAATTGCCCATAATTCTGTCCTTCAGAGATAACCATTGCTAACATTTCATTACTTATTTTTCTAGTATGTTTAATTTTTTAAGACCAAGAAGAGAGACTCTCTGGAGTCAAGTCTCACATGAAAGGAAATTCTGTGTGCATAGAGCTCAGGGCATGTAAAAAGAGATAGAAGACACATATGCCCTCTCTGTCTCAGAAGAGCCCAAACAAACCATAAACAATGAGATGTGCAGGGCCACAAACAGTTTATCTCCCCTTTTATTTGATTTGAGTGTCAAGGCAAGGGCATCAAAGTTCAATAGTGATAAGTGAAACTGCCAGGGAGCCTCCCTGATAGCGAGGACAGTGTCCTTAGGTACCATTGTGTTTTATCGAGGGGCTTGGAAACCAAGAACCCAAAAGGTCACTGGGTCCAAATTCCCCTAGGAAAACTACATCTGACATACTCTCAGCATTGGGCATTCTTTCCATTATAGTTGGTCTTCATGTAAATTCCATTAGATCCTTCTTTCCACATGAAATTCCTCTTGGTGTCAAAAAGTCTCGATGTGTATTAAGTTAACTCTTCTTAAGCCTGTTTCCCTACAGATGTCTGCTGTGGAAATGGCTAATAAGAACTTCTGTTACCTGAGCTAATAAGTCATTCTCAGTCATCTCTTTATGAGGCTTTTTAGATTGAGCCAGATGAAATGAACAGTGATAGACCATTTTTGACCTACAAAAGAGCCAACTTCACTCACTTCAGTCTAAAATATAAGCCTAGCTCTTCTTAATTTTTTCCAACAGTTCATTATTTCTGATCTTTTAACAACAGTGGAGTTCTACCCTGTCTTGGGACCATCTGCACTATCCCCATTGCTACTTAGAATATAGTGAGAACTATGTGCACCCTAATGCTAGAATAATTGCTGACACTAAGTTATTGATGCATATGTAATTAGCCAGTTTTCATTTTTACCTCTAAGAATGTCATTTTGGTCCTCCCTGGTGGCACAGCCGGTTAAAGCACAGCACTGAGAAGCTAAAGCCACTTCCGCATGAGTTCGATTCCCGCCTGCCCTGGAGGTGACCCATGGCGCGGCAGGCTGCTCACCTCAGCAGTGTACTTCGTAGATCTGCCTGTTCTGCTCCCCACTCTGTCTCTGGTGAAGCCGCTCGCCGCCCCTGAGCCTCTGGACTGTACCCCAGTTCTGTATGAACAAATAAATAAATCTTTTTAAAAAATGTCATTTTAAGACATATACATATAGATATGTTTACGTATACATATTTACACACTTTTTTTTTTTAATTAGAGGTAAGTTAACGGGGGAGAATCCAGGTCAACACATATTCCCCTGTGTTCAGAGTTAGGAGTGGTATGAGGAAAAAGAGATATTATCAGGAAAGAAATGAAACTGAGAGATTCTCCAGCATTGCTTTCTACTACTTTAAAACTTCATGACCAAAAAGATCTAACATGCTTATTTTTTCTTTCCTTCTCACCTTTAGCTCAGTCATAAATTTCCAGCAATAGTGCACACGGCACATCAAAAACCCAGGCCTGCTCTGGAGAAGGTCACTCCACTGAAAAGGATCTACATTATTCAGCAGCCTCGAAAATGTTAAACTGGGACGTAAAACACAGCCGTCCGGCCAACTGCTTCCAGCAATTGACAGTGTAGCAAAATGACCAAAACATTGCATGACCTAGTTTGGTAAATAAAACAGCTTTTGTATCTTTTGACTTTAGATAATGAAAGTATCCAAAATTGCAAGTCCAGCATATTCTTGAACCTCACTTTTTCTTTGGGTCTAGGATCTCATTGATATTTGCATCTGGAGTTCATATGTGATGCACATGTAACAAATGTGGGGAGACCCCAGTCTACTTGACTCTTCCACTCCTGCTCTTTGGATAGCTGTCTTTTCCTTGACATTGACCTTGATCTGTCCCACTCACACTGAGTTCTCCTTGAAGATAAGAGTTAGGAAAAACTACTCTGAGTTTTACAGAGGTCAATATGCTTTGCAAACTGAGGAACAATTCTTCTTTGTGTGTTGGTCTTAACAAGTTCTTGTTTTTAATTAGGTGAAATGTCTTTTCCAGTTTCCCATATAAATATAAATATATAATTTGTTTCGAAGGTTCGGTGAGGAAACAAACTAAATTTACAACAAAAATATACTCAAGTTTGCAAAGCAATCAGTGACAGAAGGTAAAAATGAGAGTTTTGATGGGAGATTTGCTCAGGGCTTTCCAGAAAGTTATGGTCCAGAACTGAGGGCATGTGGTTGTGGTAGAGAAGTTGGTTTTAAATGAGATGAGGGGTAAAGTGTTGCTATAGTGAAACCTGCTCTCCTAACCTCCAATACACACACACACACACACACACACACACACACACGTACTCATGTATAAACAGCAAAGGGCATCAAAAGATGATGTTAGAGGATGCCATTTTCTTTTTGCACAAAGGTAAGCTATCACAGTTTCACTTTTCTGCATGTCTAATACTAATGCCAGCCAAGAGGCAGCACTTCTGTTCACCCAAGGAAGGGGATTGGCTTTCTAGTCCATGATTTTATATGCTGACAACTTTGAAGTTTTGCATCTGTCTCCTTAAAATCCACAGGCACCTGGCTCAGGTCCAGTGGGCGTGATGATGCAACCCACCTGCTCCCCTGCTTTGTTTCCCTCTTTTTCAGATAAAAGAATTATTTGAGACATGCCAGCATGAACCAATAAAGCAGTCCTAACCTCCCCATTTGGGCTTAGCTCAGTTCCATGTCCTTTGGGACTGTTGTCAGAAATAATTCAGAAATGTGCTACAAGACAAATAAAAGCACAGAAGTTTGGAGATCAGTCACCACAAACCCCAGGGAAGGTAGCACAGTATACACCAGATGGTGGGTGCTAGTTGGAACACTGGACTGAGACTAAGAGATTGAGGTTCTGTTTGTACTTCTTAAACCTTATGCAAAACATTCAATCTTTCTGTTCTTGTCAGACAAGCTTAATACATCTAACTCTCCCACTTGAACCCTCCCAATGTCCTTTCAGGAAGAAGAATATATGAACACTAAGATTTGTAATAAGTCATTTTAAAAGCATTGAGAACAAAGTGGTAGCTATCAGGATGACTGTCGTAGAATTAACGAGAACTATAGTAAGAGGAGAAGAGCTATGGGAGATAGAATAAGTAGGGCCTCAAATAGGAAATAAAAAGGAAGTCTGAAGATGTTGGCTTGATGGAAGCAGGGAGGAAGTGAGGGGAGATGATAAAGAAAATGGAAAACACTGCTAGACTTGCTTTTCCTGAGGGTGAAATGAGGGTCAGTCACCCAATGAAAGAAGAAAGAAATAGGAATGCTTCTCTGTCTAAATATAGGAGCTATATGACAAGAGAAGACCACCCAAAGGGATACTGTGTGGGGAGGACCCCCACCACATTAGTTTACAACATTGTGACTTTGAAGTACAGGCTGTCCTTCAGCAGTTGTTACCACCCATGTCCACCACCAAAATACCCATAATCCATTGTGAACCTTCCCCATTTCTTCTCTCACCCATTATTCCTACACTGGTAATCTCAGTTCTGTAGTCAGATTTCTAAGATCTGTGATTGGCTTGGATTTATTTGACCCTTTGTTTTGTTTCTTTGTGTTCCACATTTAAGTGACACCATCTGGTATTTTTCTTCCTCTTTTTGACTTATTGTACTTGAATAATCCCTTCCAGATCTACCCATGTTGTTGCAAATGGCAAGAGTTTATCTTTTTTTATATAGTTCATCTTTTTTTATCTTCCTGATTCAATCATTTGTTTGGGGGCATTTAGGTTGGTTCCTTAGCTTGGCTGTTATTAACTATGCTGCAGTGAGCACGGAGTGTATATATTTTCCCAATTACCCAACACCAATTCAGTACTACAATTGCAGCCACTTAAATCATCAGATCATGGAAAGATGTTTGATGTGTGCTTTAGACCTGAAAGGAAACAGGAACTATATTGGGAAATGGATCAGAAGCGAAAGGAGGAGGCTAATATGAATTTAGGGGTGATAGGTCGTACTATGGAAAAGCAAAGGGGCTGTTCTCACCTCCTGAGGAGAAAGCCCTGGGAGCTTGTGCTGTGACTCCCTCAGCAGAAGCCCCTTAAGATGTGTTCACAGCCCACCAAAGCAATGACAGTCAGGAGGAGTGTTTGTAGGTGCATGGCGAGGCACTCAGAATGAGTTTACTTCAGCTCAGTAGACAGTATGCTGGACGCTGAGATGCAGAGATGATCAAGACACTGCCCTGCCCCCAGGAACAATTAAAGCAATGAGAAACAAGCAAACCAACAAATCAGTGTGAAGAGAGTTTAGTAATTACTTACTAGGGGCAGGGAACATGCTGGGTTGAGGTCATGTAAAGTCAAAAAACAAAGCGTTGGCTGTGGAGCTCAATAACCCACATGCAGATATTTAATAAACAGACTTCAGTTAAGATTTTTTTTTTAAAGATTTATTTATTTGTACATACAGAACTGGGGTACAGGCCAGAGGCTCAGGGGTGGTGAGAGGCTTCACCAGAGACAGAGCGGGGAGCAGAACAGGCAGATGGATGAAGTACACTGCTGAGGGGAGCAGCGGGTGGGTCAGGAGAGGTCTGCCACGCCATGTGGTCACCTCCGTGGCAGGCGGGAATCGAACTCATGTGGAAGTGGCTTTAGCTTCTCAGTGCAGTGCTTTAACCCGCTGCACCACCAGGGAGGGCCCCAGTTAAGATTTTTACTGTGCATCGTTTCAAACATCAAAAGTTGAGTGATTAGACAGAGTTTCAACAATGTGAGCAATCTTGTTTTATCTGCCACATCCAGCCGCTCACTTCTTTCTCTTCCCTCTCTCCTTCTGGATTATTTTGAGTAACTTCCAAATATCATATTTCATCTGGAAATGCTTCAAAATGTTACCTTCTTTAAGAGATAAACACTCTTGTGTGTGCTCATGTGCTCTCCCTATATCATCTCTGTTTCTTTCTCTCTCTGTAAACTTAATTTTGCAAATATTGTGGCACAAAAGGGAGTATTTATGTAAACCACCCAAGATTTTTTTTTACCATACAAGGGAGAATAGCTATGCTTGCCTCAAAACCAGAAGCACACACACATGAAGCTAAGCCCATTACACCCACAGAGACAACTTGAGAAGCTTTTTAGTAAAAGATGAAACCTCTGGAGGAGAGGAGAAAATGAAGATGACTTGCAGGTTGAAAGAAAGAAAAGTTAAACTTAAAGTTGCTGGAGGTAAACAAAAAGAACACACTACAGAAAGAACACTAAGGAAAATTAGTTCTTGCTGGAGGAAAGGATACACAAATAGCCTGCTCTAAGGTCACTCAGAGAAGAAAATGGAGTAAGAGAGGAACAAAGGAAGATGAATTAATTGCAGGGAAAACTAAACCCAACTTACTCAGCACTTATATAACAGGCTCCTCCTCTCTGATGGGCTTTCTGTAAATGGAACCCAAGACTGGGAAGAATATGACTGGAATTTGTCACAGTGAATATCCAGATGTCAGCTGGGGTCACTGCCCCCTTGCATAGATCAGATTAATTCAAATTCTCATCCTAGCCCTAGTGAATACTCAAAGTCCTCCCAGGAAGTCTGTGAATCTCCTGAAGGGTTACATTGTGATAGCGACTGACTTTTAGCAACTGTCTCTATTACTTGCTGTCTGTGCCCCATTACCCTGATCTGAACTTGGAAGCTAGCCCTTTTCCGTGATGTCCTCAAAAGAGGGCTTTACCCTCTTTGTGGAGTTTACATCACTGTAACTAGATAACCTGCAATTGAACATTAGATAGCCTTGATTTTGTATGACTGTCCTTCTTCCACCACTTCCTACTCTCCCAAAATTGGATTTTGTCCACTGCTTACTGCCCCTGGGCAATCCCCTGTCCCTCGCACGGTCATGGTGGGTGCTATCTCTCTCTGCTTTCCTTTTCCTCACTTTTCTCCTCTCCCTCATTTCCCCCTCTACACCTCCTCCTAATTTCAAAGTTCCAAGTCAGCCATTAATATTTCTTTTGTCATCATCTGGGTCACTTACCCCCAACTGGTCTCCTCACCTCCAACAAGTCTAACTTCAACTATCAGGATGCCAACATTTTCACCCAGATAGGATGGACTAGATTAAGTATTAATTAATTAGTTAATGAATTAATTAGAGCAAAGTGACAGAGTAGCTGAGCCACGAAAAGGAAAAAGGAAAACTCCTAAAAGGAAATGTTGAAGGACTGAAAGAAAAACACACACACACACATATTGAAAATTAGGACCAGCAGAGTGCTCCAACTCAAAAATATGTACCACGGGTGAAGTGTTACACATGATTTTGTAGATAGTACTTCATGAAATCTTCACAGGAATCCAGAGCGATGGTAACTATTGTTACCCATTTTTATGAAAAGAAAAATGAATTTCAGGTAAGTTAAAAGATTCCTCAAGGTTTTATAACTTGTTGAATGGAGGAACATGACAAGGAATCTCTTCATGCCAAGTCTAGAGCTGTCTCTGGAGCCAATCCTAAGAACACAGGCTGGAAGCAAAGCTGAGAAATTGCCCAAAAAAAAGAAGAGCTGGCTGTAATTTTAACCTAAGAAACAGAGCTTGATTTGCAGGAAGAATCTGTATGAAAATACAAATTTGGGGCCCTCCCTGGTGGCACAGCGGGTTAAAGCACAGCACTGAGAATCTAAAGCCACTACCGCATGAGTTCGATCCCTGTCTGCCTTGGAAGTGA